GAGAGACAGGGGTAGAGGGGGTGGGTAGGGAGACGGAAAGTACTGTAGGCCTTTTCGTCTGGAAATATAGGTAAGACTGGTATTAGAACAGGTGTTGTACTCCCATATTATCAGTAGAGTAAGCCTTCAACATTTACATAATTATTTTGATGAAAAATTAATGAATGGATATCTCACAGTGAACGTGTTCTCTTCTATATAACGTGTTTCAGGTCTAAAGCGCGAGTGGCTGACTAAAACAGCTCGTTGATAGTTTCAAATGTTCAGTTGGTGCGGAAAACTAACATGTGGGAAAACGAACAGTCGTAAATCAATTTTACGGACATGAGTGAAGGGGGAAATAAGCATTAAGCTAGACAAACAACTAAATTCTAGCACTTTGCTACTGGCGACCCTGTTTTAAAAAGGCTCAGCATGTTCAAATATTTTTACTACTCAAAATACTCTTTGTCAAACTTAAAACTGTGGTATAATATAATAACTCACCCACGTCATACACATATTTTGGAAGGCCGTTTTCAAGAGAATACAAAATACGTTTCAACTTTAGTGGTTTAAGTAGAGAGTAAATTCGATGCCTGGCACCGAGCAGCAAAAGATTAAAAAATGAATTCACAAAAGGTGGTCTTCAAAACTCAACATATGAAAATACAGGGTGTCCAAAACAAAAAGAAAAAGAAGGCTGATTAAATTAAAGGGAAATTGTTATCACCGTTAAGGCAATCCGAGGTAGATCTAGCTTTAAAAACCTAGACCGATGAAAGGAAAGTATCAAAACAGTTAATGATGAACAATATGATTTAATATCGGACTTGATAAACATACCATAAGCATAAACGTGTATGATAAAGAATATTTAGATAGAGCAGCCATGTCCTCTCTTTTTTGAACGTTACGTTTGCGGACACAATAAACGTGCGCCAGCACCTACATAAATGGCAGAAAGATGATGACATGATCAAGGGTGTAATCAAAGCTATCAACATCTAATCTACACGATAGCAATATATTCTACGCTACCATGTCGTATAATAATATTTGAAACCAAACACTGAATCCTACAATTATTAAAATCTAGGTCGACCTTCGGCTTCCTTTATGG